TTAGCTAGACTCTCGGCCTATAATTCTTATTTACTTTTAGGACAATATTCTTGTAAACATCTTTGAGTCTTTCCTCAAAATCATTCTACTGATAAACCAAAACCAAAATAAATATGTGTGCCTAAAAATAACAAGTATAATGCTCTGTATTAATGTTTTTTTGTTTTGTTTATGTTTTTTTTACTCATTGTAACATATCTACACCAGTACAGCATGATGCATGAATATATTCCATTAAACTGTTGTTTCTATGAAAAACACAAATCTCACTGGTTTTATTTTATTTTATTCAAAAGATTCTTTTTCTCTTTATTTCTGCAACTAGTTTTAATTCTATGCCAGCAGTTGTAGATGACTACTAACCAGCCAACACACAGGCTTCAGACACAGCAAAATGAATAGTTTAAGGATAAAATGATAATGACCACCACATTTGGCTACGAAATGACTCCTTTCCCATTTTCAATCTCTAGCACACACAATATCAAATTCAAAACAAATATGGTAGTTACCACAATTAAAGCCAAAAACCTTCAAAAGCTTTTTTTAAGTTTTTTTTTTGTGTTTTTGTTTTTGTTTTTGTTTTTTATTTTCAAGTCTTGCTATTCCAGGGCCAGAACTTAAGCCTCAGATGTCACCGTACCCTTGGGAGTGTAGACGCGGGCATTGGGGTCCAGCGTGGAGTGTTGTGGGTTGGTGGGGGCCGGGGGGGAAATGGGTGCCGGGGGAGACAGGGGAGAGGGGGGGGAGATGGTGTGGGGACGGGTGTGGCTTGTGGGGGAGAAACCGAGCCCACAGAGGGAGTCCAGTGATGAGTCCATCAATCCATCCACCATCACCAGGGAGGCTGTGGGGTCGATGGCCGAGGTTGTTACCTTCGGGGGGAGGGAGGACGCAGAATATTATGTCAGTTAGACCTAACTTACAAATGGCTATACAAAAAAATATGTATATATTTAAATTATATATATATATATATATATATATATATATATATATATATATATATATATATATATATATATATATATATATAAATATATATATAAATATATATATATTTATACATATTTTAATATATATTTATATATACATGTACATATATACAAATATATATACATATATACATATAATTTATATAAATATATATATATATATATATATATATATATATATATATATATATATATATATATATATATATATATATATATATATGTTACCTATTACCACTTCTGAAAATTTTTGAACACTACAAAATCAAATCCTAAAGTAAAACTTGTTTTTTATCACCTCTCCCATGTCACAGGCATTTCATCATTACTTTCAAGTAACTCAAACAGAAATTCAGGTAAAGAACTGTAAACAGTACTAAACAGAACTAGCAGGTAAACTTAAAATCAGGAAAACAAGTTAATGGAAAAAAAAAAGTTACTGCATAATTAGTTAATACATCTACAAAGTCAATTCAACTAAATGAAAATGCTGTCATACAGCTTACACTGCTAAAATAATTTTAATGACTGACAGGTTATAAACTGAAAACAAATTACTTAAATTATTGACAAGTCTTACAGATACTGGTAAGTCTTTCAGTTCATTACCTGACACTGTTGTTACTATTAATGATCATTACACTAAAGTGAACAAGTTACATTATATCAAAGTATAGATTTTTGGTGATAGTGATAACATTTATTCTCTCTTTTATATTCCATTACTGTAATCAATTAACCAAGAATGAACCTGAACTGGAAAGACAGGAAACTATGAGCCACATAAAATATATGAATTCCAGTCTTCATTTTTCACAAATATGCCTTTTCTCAATCTCAAAAATGCCTACGCTAATTTCAGCAAAATGTTTTGTTTTTTTTACCAAACCACAATAAATTAATCCATATAGAAAAAAAAAAAAAAAAAAAAAAAAAAAAAAATTATCAAACATTTACTTCACAAGATATATCAAGGTTATCAAAGCAAATCTGTACAGCAATTACTACTTAATCCACATCTGAAGAACATTAACTGATTCCAACACACAGAAGTGGTCTTCCTAATCTCCCCCCTTCACCACCTTCACCAAACACCATACTTTCTCATAAGCAGATTATCCCCTTACATAACTGTGCATCAATTACGTAAACTTCTCTATTATTCTCATTGTACCATACTACTTCAATCTATCCCTTTACTGTTAGCATGGTATCCACAGCTCTATCTTTTTTTACGGATTCTTTTCCCCTTTTTACTACCACGGAACAATGCTGTGCCTAAACAGCGATTATCATTACTTTTTCCCCACTAATCCGTTACTGCCGGGTCACATGTATAACCATCATAACAGACCACCTGATCTGCTGGGTACGGCTATACACATGGCAAAGCACTAGAGCGAGTGAAGCAGAAAGTTCCGCTCCCAGTCTATGACACCGAGAGATTTATAATACCGTCACTGAAGGATCAAGCAAACACCACCTACTTATGAGAAAAGAATTATGGTGTTGTTTTAAATACAGTACGAGAGTGAAATGTGTACATAATCATGCACACACACATGCTCACACAAATTGAGTCCAAGATCATTGGAAGCTAATCTTGTTAGGGGAAGAAGGTTCACATTTTCCCATCTCAGAACTGAGGTTCATTCTTGATTTCATCTGATGAGTGAACAGACTAATAATTACTGGTGACAATGTATGCCTGATTAAGCAGTGTAAAAAAAAAAAAAAAAAAAAGGAAAAATATCATGCTTTGTTGGGATTGTCTATATATTGAAAAGTGATATCCATATCTTGCAAGGACTATTTCCTAGAAAATGTGTCTGACGTAATGATTTTGACGTGAGCTGTGATCAGTTGGTCACAAAACAATTCTTAAAAGCTCTTATTCTGTAAGATTACGCTGATAAAAATAAAATATATATGCATACTTCTGTAACAATCATTAATCTATTTCAAGTTACTGCATAATTAGTCAATACATCTACAAAGTCAATTCAACTAACAAAACAAAATAGAAAACAAAAATCTAGCAAAAGTTCTACGATAAATCTACTGTATTTCTCACATAAGAAGCCCATCCACTGTTTAGTAGGACTGCAAAACAGAACTCACTTGGGGCAGAAGCTTTGACGTATAATGAATGGGTGTTGTATCCAAAGATGTATTTGTAAAACTTGTTGGAGGACACACTGCCAGTACTTCAGTAATCTTTGCCTTCAGCTCTTCAATTTCCTTGTCCTTAGTAGACACCAAGCCTTTAAGAAAGATAATAGTTTAGCATAGACACCAAGCTCAAAACCTATTCATTTTATTCTCTTTTCTTCTGCTTCTCTTAAAGGTTAAATTGTTCATCATTCACAAAAAGCTGCAAATATAAACTCAACAGTAACTCACTCTGTGATATTTCCAATTGGCGCTTGGCCTCGCCCAAAGCCGAGAAAAGATCAAGCTTCACTCGAGTCTCAGCAGAAAGTGAGGTCTCCAGATGTGTGTTCTTGTCTTGCATGGCAGAGAGAGCAGACATAAGTACCTCTGTATCATTTTGGTTATCTTTGTATTGCAGCAGAGCAAGGTTCTCACGTTCCATGGTTCTGACGCGTTCTTCTGAAAGCCGATGGTCCCTGCGCAAACGCTTCACCTCTGCCTCAAGCTCACTTCGGCGATTGCGGCAAGCCTCACTGCACTCAGTTCTGTTAGTGACGTAAGTGAAATACAAACAAACATCAAATCAACAAATTACACAATATGATCTGTGATAAATGAGTGATATGTGTCAAAATTACAACTGCCTATTTTTGTTCATATAGTATTAGAAACTAACTAGAAATTAACAAAAGACTAAAACATCATAAGATAAAAGAATATATCTGCATCATCCCTCCAGAACCGATCTCTTCCTCTGCAAGTAATATCAATTCTAGAAGATCTCACTCACTTTGCATTGGCCAAGGCATGTGCTCTGGCTTGTGCTTGCTCCTCGACTTTCTTCTGTCGACGTTCGAGCTGTGCCACCTGGTTCTCTGCGTTGGTGCGGATACGCCTTTCTTCCTGCAGTCGACGCTCCAGGCTACTGATAGTTGACCTATCATTTTGACGAGCTGTTACCAACCCGTGTAGTCTGTGGAACAGAGGAGAAAATGGTTGTTTATATTCTATCCCATTATTAATCTTGATTTTCTCTTTCCGCATGGGCCAAAATTTCTTTGGACAACAATTTCTTATGTTTATTTAGAACTATGATATCTTTTCAATTCATTACTTGATTTGAGTTGTCTAGACAGAAATTAGGTCTAGGATAATGGAAATATACAAATATCTACATACATCTCAATCATCATAATCACATAGGGTATTCACATTATCTAGTGTAAACTGGGTCACTATCACAAATAACAAGGTAAGCCTTACTTATTTTGCAAGTTATCATTATCTTGCTGCAACTGGTTCATCTCCTGTCGGGTGATTTTGTCACTGGAGATGAGTGTATTAATTTGGTTGCGCAGTTCTTGTTCTGTTTGACGAGAAGCTTGCAGATCTGCTTTCAATCTCTTAATATCTGCTTCAAGCCTTTAGGAAAAGAAATACAAGGAAAGTGTTACTCTTTCATTATTCACATTTGAGAAACATTTTGCTAAGCAATGAGACTTTCCTCAATAAAAAAATATATGATTTTCACATACTATTTGATGCCTTAGTTCATGAAAGCATTTTTTTGTGTATAGTGGTTACAGAGAGGGGAAAAAATATATATATATATATAATCACAATATAGACACATAGCCCAGATGTGATATGGTACCTAAATTGTTTCCCATTTTCTGTAATTTATGGGATATGACTGAATGTACATTTTACTGCTACTGCTTCAGGAATGGAAGTTGGACCTAGTAAAGACCAACCTTTTTTATCAACTTTTATTATCAAAAATATAAATGATATATTTTTTCAATGTCACCTAGATTCACCTAATCATATAGAAAACTTATTAACATTTAG